GGAATAGGCTAACGGAGAATAAAAACTTGTGGTCGTAAATATGCATATCTAACGTGACAATTTACATAAGTTAGTGCTATTACATTGACGTAATACTTAGATTCATAAATGATTAGATAATCGTCTGAACCAAGTTTACGATCTATTTAGTTAAAGTTAGTTAGATATTATTTGTAGTTACTGTGATTTTATTATATGAGGTAGAAATATGTCATGTAGTTATATCTCACATAATTTTGCTTCATAAATAATATTTTTAGTGTATGATGTTCCCTTGTGCCGTTTCAACTACTCTTTCGTAAACGAGAACTCTTGTTGTCGAGATTGGTGTTACTCTTGAAAGCGTAATATATGGATATCCACCCAATACAACTTTATATAATTTAATTCTTTATTATGATTTTTTATTTATTATCTTTCCAATTCTTCCTTTTCGCAAATCTCACCAAATCGCAAACAAATGATAAAGCATTCTCATTAAATAAAGGCCAAATAGGTGCACGGCCCCTTAAACGTGGCTCCAGTTTTCATTTTAACACTTTAACTTAATGTTTTTTCTATTGAACACTTTAATATTATATAAAGTGGATCTATTGAACACTTTACTCATAACCAGTAAAAACAATAAGGTGTGTGTAATTCACACATGAATGACTTAGCAAAAATAACAAATAAGAGGGAGACAGGTGGCATTTGGACCCAAATAGTTAAAAAAAAGTTTTGAAAACAAAAAAGATTTATTTTATACATAAATTTCCCCAACAATTCCATCGTCTTCTCCGCATTTCCCCATCGGTTCTATTGCCTCCCACCAATATCGGTCATGGACACTATCTTCTCCAGTTAAACCGAGAAGCAAAATGATCGTATTGTTAATCTCATATTCCTAATACTTCAATCTCAAAGAAACTTCCAAGCATTCAAACATGGCGTCTAAAGAATCCAAGATCCAATCTATTGAACGAATCTCAAGAGGAAGAAGACAGCAATTAAGGTAAAATTTCTCCAAAAAAGAAGCCGCAAAGCTCGAGCCAAAAACGCCACCGTCAAGAGGCGACTGCAGCTGCCGCCATCACTGCTATCTCTCTCCGGCTTCACGGTGCAGTTTATTTTGACTGTCTCAGGCCATCTTCTCACAATTTAATTAACTAATGAATTTCACGGTGCAATTTATTTTATTTTTCATTAAAACTACTGAAGTGGGCATTTAATCTGTAGTCGTCGTTGCTGAATTTCACAGTATTTTCGTGGCGTGAAGGAGTTTTCTGGTCGGTGTGAGGAAATGATGGTGGGGATGGAGGCTCGGAAAGGAGGAGGAAGAAGAATGTAAAACTATGCTTTTCTTAAATAAAACAAAAGAAAAAAAATATGATTTTGGTATTACTTCACGCATCTAAAGAGAGGTGAGACACACTCTTTTTGTCACATCATCATACATGTTCAATAGGCATAATTTATATAACGTTGAAGTGTTTAATAGGTACAAACTTTAGTTAAGGTGTTAAAATGAAAACTGGAGTCAAGTTTAAGAGGATGTCTAGGTATTTTGGCCCTAAATAAAATTGACTAAAACTAATAGTATTTTTAAAATTATTAATTGTGAAGTAAATCTAAACACGTTTTTTTCTTTAAGGTGATGCTTAAAGAAAAGCACAATTGTAAAAAATTGGTCAAACGCAAATACTAAAAAAGGCCGTTATCAAATTCGGGCCAACCACAAATTGCTAAGTTTCTAATTAAGTACTTTTGAGAATATTTTTTTTCTTTTTAAAAATAAATAGATTTTGAAAGTTTAGCCAAACTAATCTCAAGTTAATCTAAATCTCTAATAAATTAGTATTCCTTCCCATTTAATTCTATTTTTCTTATAGGTCTGCTTTTTTTTCACTTTTTCATTATCAAACATCCTTATTTAAAAGTCTCTTTTCCCTTCTTGAACTTTGGATAACCAATATTAAGCAGGGAGTCAAATATAGTTTTTCATAAAACAAAAAACAAAAACCACAATAATAAAACAAGAATATTACTTCGAATTAAGATCACCACTTTCATTAATCCACCAACTATGGCTAAACTATCAAAGAAATTAAAACTATTTACAGAGGTTGTAAACTTGTAATAGGCTGAAGAACTTACATACGGAGAATACTATGAAATAAATCATTTACAATCTATTTGCTTAACTTCAAAGCTTATTGTTAAATCTCCATTGATCGATGAAATGAGTAATCTGATTGAGCACTCGAATGAAGAGGATGAGAGAACTATGAAGAAGAAGCTAAGATCAGAAAGCAGAGCAATTGATAGAATGATTCGTATTTGTACATATGGAGCTACAAGTCCTTTATATAGGATAGCCTAATCTATTCACACCTAAGCTAGTGACAGCTGGATAATAGTTGTGACTAACGACCTCTTAAGTTAGTTAACACTATTACAACTAACTTAAACNCCCTCAAGCTAGGAGATATTAAAAGGTTCTTCATGCCTAGCTTGGATAGCAGATAATGATGTTGAAGCTAAGTAAGCCCTTTGGTGAGAATATCAGCATGTTGCTCTGAGGAAGCCAAGTACTGAAGATTTACCAATCCCTGCTTGACCTTCTCCCGGATGAAATGACAATCGATGTCGATGTGTTTGGTTTGCTCACGAAAAAGGGGATTAGCAGCTATTTGGATGGCCGATTTACTGTCACAGTATAAAGAGATAGGCAGTTGAACATTCACATTCAATTCCTTAAACAATCTAAGAAGCCATACAAGCTCAGCAACTGTTGAGGCAAGGCTCCTATATTCTGCCTCTACAGTACTTCTAGAGATAGTTGATTGTTTCTTGGATTTCCATGACACTAGAGAATTGAAAATTTTAATAAAATAACATGTAACAAACCGGCGAGTATTTGGATACGACGCCCAATCAGCATCACAATAAGTAGTGAGAGAAGGACAATGGACAGATGACAATAGAATTCCAGCTCCAGGTGACTGCTTAACATAACGAACCAATCGTACAGCAGCCTCCATATGAGAGACCTTAGGGGAGTACATAAACTGGCTTAAACACTGTACTGCAAAACTGATATCTGGTCGTGTGTTAGTTAAGTATAACAATCAGCCAAGGAGTCTTTGATATATACCAGGGTCATCAAGAGGGGCATCATCAGTCACCCCAACATGTGCATCAAAATCTGAAGATGTAAGCTTCAAGTTAAGTTCCAAGGGAGCACCAACTGAATTAGCTCCAGCCAAACCCATTTATGAGATCAATTCAAGGGCATACTTCCGCTGATGCATAACAATGCCCTCTTTGCTTCTAGCAAATTCTATGCCAAGGAAATACCTCAACTCACCAAGATCTTTGATCTTGAAACTGGACTGTAAACATGCCTTAGTTTCGAGAATCATGGTTGAGTCATCTCATGTGATCAAGAGATCATCGACATAAACCAAAACTATGACAAACTTGCCATGAGATTGTCTAGTAAACAGAAAATAATCCAAATGACTTTGAACAAAATCATAGGACAGCAAGGCAGAAGATAATATTAGGTTCCACTTCCTGGAAGCCTGCTTAAGGCCATACAATGATTTAAGAAGCTTACAAACTTGCTGAGGACCATTGGAACTATGAAAACACTGGGGTAAAGTCATATACACTTCTTCATCCAAATCACCTTGCAAGAATACATTATAGACATCCATTTAATGGATTGTCCAATACTTGGTTGCAGCAATAGCCAGAACACACCTAACAATTATCATTTTGACTACGGGAGAAAAGGTTTCTTGGTAATCTAAGCCTTCTTGCTGGCTATAACCCTTTGCTACCAGTCTTGCCTTGAACCTCTCCGCCTATTTTGTATCTTTATACTTAATTTTATACACCCACTTACAACCAATAGCTCTTTTACTTGTAGGCAAAGGTACCACCTCCCATGTATTATTAGCCTCTAAAGTTTGTAATTCAGCTTGCATAGCCTTAAACTACCTAGGATCTTTGGTAGCATGTGTATAACTCTTAGGCTTAACATCAGCAGAGAATTTGGTGAGGAAACTTTGATACCTTAGTGTCAAAGTATCATAGCTTACAACATCAGACAATAGATAGAGACAAGTATTTGCAGCTTTGCCAGGGACAACAAAATCTTTCAACCAAATAGGTGGTTTAGACACCCTTCCGAATTTTCTCTGTGGTGGCTCAGGATCAATAACAGGTGCAGGGCTAGAAAGTGGTAAGTCTATAGTGATGAGAGATGGATCTGCAATGTCAAAGACTTCTGCATCATGCGAAGCTATTGCTGGTGGCTGGTCTGGGATAGGTGGTGGACTAGAAATAGGATCATCTAGTGTATAAGAAGGGGTAGATACAACTGGAAAAGAGAAGTCTTGATCTGTTGCCCGTGAACAAAAAGGAAATATGTTCTCAAGAAAGAGAACATCTCTGCTAATGAAAATTGTTATGTGTTCCATGTCATATAGCTTGTAACCTTTCTGAAAAATCCCATAGCCAAGCAACACAAATGGTATAGCTCTAGGACTGAATTTGTCTTGTCTAGGTAATGTTGTTGCATATCACAGACACTCTATTACTCGCAAAAGAGACAATGAAGGCACTCTGTTGTGCAATACTTCAAATGGAGACTTTTTTCCCAAGACAATAGAGGGAACTCTGTTAATTATATACACAGCAGCTTCTACACAACATCCCCAAAACCTAGGTTGCAAGTGACCTTGGAATTTAATGGCTCTAGCTATCTCAAGGATATGCCTATGCCTCCTCTCGACAACTCCATTTTGTTGAGGAGAATAAGGGCAAGAACTCTGATGAATTATCCTATGTGACTTTAACAACTGAGCACAAAGACTATTGAAAAATTCTAACCCATTATCAAACCTAAAAGCTTTAACTTTCCTTTCAAATTGGTTCAAAATCATGGCAATGAAATATTTAAGTAGAGCAGACACATCATATTTAACTCGCATTATAAAGACCCAAGTCCATCTAGAGAAATCATCCACAAGAGTAAGAAAATAGTTCATTCCATTGTAGGTGGAGACTTTGTAAGGCCCCCAAACATCCATATGAATCAATTCAAAAGGTGCGACAACTCTACTATTAGTCTATTACTATGAGGAAATGGAAGTCTAACTTGTCTAGCTAATGGACATATGCCACAGTGGTCCAATGTAAGACTACATTTATTTTTCAAAATAAAAATTCTTCTTAGAACTGCCATAGGTACATGGCCCATCCTCTTGTGCCATAACTCTGAATCTGTTATCTCTCTTTCTACCAAAGATTTCATCTGCTCCTTGACTCCAGCATTTTCCTTTGGTCTCAAGATGTAAAGTTCTTCTTCTTTCTTACCAATCCCCTTCACCCTCCCAGTGAAGAAGTCCTATAAGATAAAGAAATCAGGATAGAAACTAACAAAGAACTGCAAAGCCTTAGTCAGCTTTGAAACTGACAACAGGTTGAATTTAAATGTTGGTACACACAATACGTCTTTAATGAGATCACCTCCTGTCAAGTGGCAATTTCCTACATGAGTAATCTGAGTGGAATCTCCGGTAGGCATTTGAACATGTCCTGAGTTTTCTACTTTAGTAGCATCAACCAACAACCATTCATTACTTGTCATATGATTAGTAGCCTATGTGTCTACTATCCAAGTAGGACTAGAATCAGAATCAGACAAAGATATACCTGCCATGTGTGCACTAGGTTCACCAATAGAAGTTTTGTTCAACAAATTGAGGATTTGTGAATACTGCTCATGAGTAAATACTGGCGATGTCATAGGTGTGAGTGGATAAAGAGCAGAAGCAGCATTTCCATCTGATTGTGTCAAGTTTCCACTCAGAAAAACACCTCTTGTTTTTGGCTTAAAATCGGGAGGATACCCTATAATTTTATAGCAATTTTCCTTCAAATGACCTTTCATGTTGCAAAAGTCACATTTCATTAACTTGAAACAATTTTCCCTGGAATGACCTCGTGTGTGACAATAATCACACTCTAGATTATAATTCTTCTTCCCCTGCCTCTGACCAGAATGTTTAACAGTAAACAGGGCAGTAGGCTCCATATTTTCAGTCAATGCACAATGCCCTCCTGCAACCATTTTTTGACTTTCATCCTGAAGCAGCATTGCATATGCTTGATTAACATTAGGAACGTGTGACTTCATCAAGATCTGGTTGCGTGCCTAGCTATATCCACCATTGATACCCATAAGAAATTGTAACAAGCATTGGTATTGTAAATGATTAGCATATTCCTTGGATTTTGCGCGTTCACATAAAGAAGGCGGCATCAATAAATCATATTCATCCCATAAGTCCTTCAATTTAGAATAATACACAGAGATGGATGAAGTACCCTGTGTTAAGGTAAAAATTGCCTTATGCAGATAAAACATGCGAGAAGCAGTCACCTTATCAAAGCGCTCTCGCAGGTCCTCCCAAATAGCATAAGCACTGGAACGAAACATCACTCCACTAAGCAAATCACGACTAACATTATGCATAATCCATGATTTTACCATCGTATTACAGCGATCCCAGTGAGTAACAAAATTATGCCCATAAGTGTCTCGCGTAATAGTACCTTCAACAAAACCTAGTTTATTCCTAGTTAGCAAAGAAACTTCCATGGCATGTCGCCATAGAGTATAATTCTCCATTCCGATTAGAGGCATCCCAATCGAAAGCGAACTCGGAGCATCCGAAGCATGCAAATACAGTGGGTGATTGTGGTCAATCAAAATCACATTTTGCGCAGTTGCGTCATCGATCACCATGAAATTTAGGTCTCAAAACTGATAAAAGCTCAAATTCACTAGAAAGTACCTGAGGAATCTCTCGATTTTCAACTGTCGTCGGAGAAAATCCCTTAATTCACTCAATTAGGGATCTGATACCATGTTAAATCTCCATTGATCGATAAATTGAGTAATCTGATTGAGCATTCGAATGAAGAGGATGAGAGAACTATGAAGAAGAAGCTGAGATCAGAAAACAGAGCAATTGATAGAATGATTTGTATCTGTACATATGGAGCTACAAGTCCTTTATATAGGATAGCCTAATCTATTCTCACCCAAGCTAATGACAGCTGGATAACAGCTGTGACTAACAACCTCTTAAGTTAGTTAACACTATTACAACTAACTAAAACAGTTAAACAGTAAAGTAACCATGGTGCAGGTTGTCAATTCCTCGATACCTATGTATTATGAAAATTAACATGATTTATTATCTACAAAAAAGATTATGTTTTAATAATTCATAAATGTTTAAACTGTCCTAGTAAAGCTCGTCTAAACCAAATATTTCATAAGGAAACTATGGATATCCCAGGTTATCCCATGGGGTGGGATATCCCATGAATGAGATTAGTTATCCCACCTTCTATATAGGATAGCTAATTCTGTCATTTTAGTATAAAAGTTATCTTGGGAGTAGCTAATACTCCAAATTAAACATGGGATAAAGCTAATCCCAAATTTTATCCCGAATTATTATCCTTATCTCATATACCAAATGACCGCTACGTATTTGGCAAGTGCAGGGAGAAATTACTCCAATTGTCAATAGCATGGACGAATGTAGTGTTGAACCGAAGGGTTCAATTAAACCCATAACTATCGATACGGGGTAAAAATTTAAATGTAAAAATTTATTAAAATTATAAAAATAATAGATATGAACCCATAACTTTAAAAATATAATAGGTACAATACTAAAATCCTTCATAGTTAAACCCATAAGATTTAAATCTTGGATCCGCCTCTAGTCAACAGTATTCATTATATTTAATTGTTATTGTTGCAAGCATGAATTAATGTTGTTTTTCCCTTAATGCAGCTATGGCTGGACTGTGGGTCAAACCATTCTAGAACTTGTACTTCGTACACCCCACTTTTTCACTGTTACAAATTATAAAGCATTTGGGATCCACTATAGTTAGGATAAGTGAATTTCTAGTTGTAATTTTCTTGTATGAACTTTACCATCTAACAAAGGGGATCTAATATTTCTAGAGCATGGATGCTATGAGCATCTAATTTTTTACCATGTTTGAATTTTTCTCACTCATCTCATCAATACCTCACTTCTCACTCCATCTTTCCCGCTCCCATCTTCCCACGCGTGCCCCCACTTCACTTTCTTTTGCCCCTACTCTTTATCCCCCACACTTTGTCCCCACTCCACTTTTCACTGTCCCATATGCTTGTCCCCACTCACAACCCCCTCACATGTCCCTCCTTCAAAAGAACGGATCACCCTCCCCAAAAAAGACAGAGAAAGAACGAGCTGCCATCTTCTTCTTCTTCCTCACGATTTTCTTCCTCTAAAAAAACTCTATGAAAAGTAATGCAAATCTCCAGCTAAAAGTCATGAAATTCTCCATTAGAACTAGTAGTCTTTTAGCCATTAAAATCTCCACCACCTCCGGCCCATTTCAGCCATAAAAAGTTGTCACTTTCAGCTCTGAAAACTAGCAACCAAAAAGCTTCCAAGACAGCCTCAAAATCACCCCAAAAACCTTCCCAAAATGCAGCAAAATCTGCCATCTTCAAGCTCCAAAACTACTGCAAATAAGCTATGAAATCAGTTGAAAAACAGTCTTTGAACAGCTACCAAAAATGTCGTCAAAAGTCATCGCCATCGAGGTCGCGTTCGAGCTCCATCGTGGATTCCAGTCGGATTTACTGTACAGTCCTTCAAAGGAGGTTCTTCTTATCTAATCTAAAGAGTTTCTATTAAAAGGTCATTTCAATATTGTTACGTGCTTGGTTTTATTTTGATGTTTAAGTATTTCAAGCTAGATTCGTCGTTGTGTTCTTTATTACTCTGAATTTGTTTACTGATATTTTAGTAGGTTAGTGTTAAGATTGCTTACTAGTAAGTGCTTTTGGTTATTTTATATGTAGTGTTTGGTCTAATTATTTATTTAATATGATAATCGTGGATCAATGATTGAAGGGCCAATGAATTGCATGTGATCTTGGCTTGATTGGGTTTGTTTTTTTGTTTTTTTTTTTTTTGTAAAAAGGTTTGGGCTTGCATGGGAGTAGTATTTGTCTAAGTTGCCTTATGTCAGACTAAAGAAGAGAAAACTTTTAAGCTTAATCCATCTCTTTAATAAAATAACTAATTTAAGTTTAGCCAAATAGTGAAGCAATTGCCTAACTCATTCTCATAACAATCGAAGTTGACCCATTTCTTTTCCATAAACTCTATGCCAAAATAAGCTCAATTCTAATAGGAAAATATTTAAACTCATGAACATCGTAGCTTGCTTTAGGCGCGATTAATAAATCATCGTGACTATGGGTACGATTCCCGTAGCATAATCATGATACGTAAATCCCAACTCAAGTGCGCGTTCACGTGACTTGACCAATCAATTTCGAATGATAATAAATGTGTTATTGATTGTGTACACGTACGCGTGACATGATTCTTGACGTCAAACAAAAATGAGTACACGTACGCGTGACTTATTTCAAGATAATTTTTATTAATCTAATCAAGCAATAAAAGCGGACATAGGTAAAATATGAGAACTAATAAAACACAGGTTATCCAAAAATAATATAAACCAAATGTAATCAATAAAGCGACCGTACTAGAACCACGAGACTCGGGAAATGCCTTACACCTTCTCCCCGGTCAACAGAATTCCTTACCCGGATTTTGTTTTCGCAGACCAATAATAAAAGAGTCAAATCTTCCTTTGAATGGGTATTCAAATAAAAGGTGACTTGGAACACCCAAATATCAAATTTCAAGTGGCAACTCTGAATAATAAAATAATCCTACTTCAAAAATGTTACTTTAATTGAAAAAACTCTTTAACCCACAACAATCCATAACACATATTATCTTTTTGGGGTAAAAAAAACAGGGGTGTGACGGATGCACAACTAAAAAAAGAGAAAAAGGAAGTATTTAGCGGGAATTAATCCCTCTTTCCTTAGGCAAATAACACAACGTTCTACTAAGTGCCATTATTTTGCCACCCCTACCCTCGTCGGTTAGAAGGAGGAAAAGAAAAATGCACCACTCATTTTTTTTAGAACTAGCAAATAATATTAAATTAGAAAATATATACATAAAATATTTAGTTTGACAAAAAATTATAGATTCACGTGCACCATTATTTGGCCTAAATCTGCCCCCTGCCATTTGATTGACATGGTGTTTCATAAAATAATTAGGTTTCCATATGAAGAGCTACTTAATTAGACTTATGCGACAGCTAGTGGAAAGAGACCCTATAAGTTTGAATATTAAGTCATGTAATATGATGATTCTGAGACATGCATAAGAACCCTAGCTAACATTTTCACTCATGCAACGTACTCGTCTTGCGGTAGATAATAATTACTTTAAATTTAGCGAGTTTTACATCGTAGGACTTTTTTAAAAAGCTAATAATATAAATAACACTATTTTTAAAATATTTTAAAAGTAACAATTTAAATAACAATTCTGGCAAGTTTAATAAATGCTTAAATTTAATAGCAAGTAATTTAAAATTTAGAATCCTAATAATTTAGGAACCAATATCCCCCTTTTTTCTCTCCTTGAACCTATTTCCTATTTCTGTACTTTCAACCTAGCCAGTCTATTCTACATTTTTTTGGTTTGATTTCATGATCACCTTCATTGCTGCTAAAGAAAACTAGGGATGATTCTTTTCTTCTAAAATGTTCAAGGCCATTACTAAGGATCTTCCTCCTCCATTTACACACACATATTCATTTTCATCGCACTTTACTTTGCATTAAATCAATTACTATTCATCCTTTTTCTTTGCACAACTTTATTTGGGTTCAAGAAATTATCAAGAGTACCATTCAAATTTATATACTATTAAATTCCATCATTATATCGTGTATAATATTTATATATAATTATACACTACTATAGCATCGTGTATATATTTATTCCATTTATATATCTAATTATCCACTTTTATTAACATTAATACATAATTTACGTATACAATGGTTGAAGAACTCATTATACNATATATATACACACACACACACACACACACTATTATAATGTCGTGTATATATTTATTTCACGTATCAGTATATATAAATTGTTACCCAATTTGTTAAAAATGTGTTTTCTGGAGAAAAAAGTGAATGAGAGGGAATGAATTGGATTAAAATCTAAAAATGTGTTATGGGGAGATGAAACATCGAGATTATTGGAAGTGATTAAATAGTGCTAACTCATTTATTCTGGTTAGCAATTAATATGTTTTCATATTATTTTAGTGCTACATTTGTTAATTAACTATTGCTGCTAAGATATTGTAAATTTTCTCTATTTACGTTGCTAGTTATGAAGAAAGCCCATATTTTGTTGTTTCTTCAAAGATTGGATAACAATTGACTTTTGATACTCCTTAATCTTGAGAAATATATGATTTGCTGGAGTATGGCTGGTTGGAGGTGAGCATGAGTAAGGTCTGATGGTATTGGGCTTGGTTTAACTGGATTTCTTGGAGGGGCCATTTAGGAATAGAGGAGAGAGTACATGTTTTTCTTTATTTGAAATTTTGTGATTTAGTAGCAAACCATTAAAATGCGATTTTATTCTGCAGTTATTTGCAAATCCAAGAGGACTAAGCTTCTAACCAGCACACCAGGGAATACTCTTTATTAGGTTGGCCGTTGCCCGTTGATGTGAATTCTAAAGTTTTAAAAAGTGGAGGTTCATATTCAAACCTCGTCCCTTAAGAGTAAAACTTGACTCTTTACCACTAGCAGTCTAGCGCCTTGCACAATAGTAGGTGCAATTTTTTCCTTTTTTTTTTGTTTTTGTTTTTGTTTTGACAACCACACAGTGGCAGAAACTGTAAATTGTAATGTATGTATCAGCTAGTGCATACACCTTTACTTTTCCACTAGGTACCAACTACTCCCACCAACATAGAATCCGCCACCAAAGCTTAATCAGATGAGAAAGAAACATGATCTCAACTCTTATAAGCCAACGTAAATGAGTGCAAGCAAGAAAGACGTCTAAACAAATCTAAAATAGTGAAGAGGAACAAAATGAACAGTTTATAGGATTAAACTTACAAAATGCATGCATTCTTTACTTGAATAGGAAAGGATGATGCAAAGAATGGGAAATACGTCTTCCATTTTCTAGCTCCATGAGCGCAATGAGGTTCATAACAATCAAAGAATAGTGCACGGAATGAAGATATATTGGGTATCATATGTAGGAGAAAATTGAACCTTTATGCATTTACAATTTTACATTCATGTAAGTTGTATCCTTTCCCTCTCTTCCTTCTGGCATCACTATGCATATAGTTATATTCATATAACAAAGTAACAACTGGTACATTCAATTCAATCTATCTCCGCATTGCTTGTAGGCAGAGACCAAACTAAATTGAAACCTATCCTTGATGAAAATCAGACCATCACTGAACTTCCTGATGATGTGAGAAGAAAAGACTGACTGAAAACTTGTACTTATTGACCAAAATCTGTACAGCTCAGTCAAAACTCAATAACATAGATGGACGATACTCAAATTCCGCTGTCCATATATGATCAGAACTTCAAAGCTCAAACAAAAACGCGAGAAACGTCATTGGCCTTGTGTGGTTGCATCTCCACCATGTATATAAACTGTAACTTGTCATTCTAAGAGCTTCCTGAGTCCCTCGACACTGGTTATACTGATATATCAACCCCAAGGTATGAACTCTTTGAAAGTCCAGATTAGAGAGACATCATCTAAGCATATACACAAGGAACTATTCCGTTAACTGTTGCAACTAAATGCTAGGAATGCTCGTCTCCGTCATAAGCTCTCTGGTCTGCGCAAGCAAATCCTATACCGCCTCAACCTCCTTAAGAGAGAGAACATCATCACGCGGATGAGCTTCTTCAACTTGCACATCTACTTCATCACCAATTTGTACACCAAGAGACACCCAAGAAGAAGCTTGAACTCCAATCTGCAAAAGGTTTGCATTAGATTACAGTAAAAACCAGCAAGAGTGCAATAGAGAAACCACCAGAGACAATTAAACCCGAGGAAAATCATGGGAATATCTTTTGCTCCTAATATACTGTTATCTATGCTTGTCGTGTCTGAGAGAAAGGGAGGGGACAAATCGATATTCCCTGTTCATGTCCAGGGGGGAAGTTATAAAGCTTGCGCTAAAAGTTTCCAAGTGTTGTACATTTTCAAGCACCAAATCTGGCACATATTAAGTCAAAAAAAAAGATCAATAGAGGTCAAGAAAAACATGACTTGGTGAAAATAAGCAGCAGTTAATCATAACCCCTCTGTTGATTTGCCTTCATAAAGAGGCACTACAACAACAAACCCAGTTTAATCCCATAAATAGGGTCTGGGGAAGATAGTGTGTACGCAGACCTTACCCCTATCTTATAGAGATAGAAAGGTTGTTTCCGATAGACCATCGGCTCAAGGAACAGTGGAGATAAAGCAACCAAGTAGCAAACAATAGTAACAACAATGTAATATTGGAACGGGCGCGAATGCCACATCATGTAATAATAAAGAACCAACAACAACAATAAAGAACCATGAATAAGAAATTACAAAAATAGTCCTAGTACTACTGGTAAGCCTAGGAGGAACACACTACTATCTGTCAACCTACAACCCTAATCCTCGACCTCCATACCTTCCTATCGTGGGTAGGGGTGGCATGTGGTCCGGGCCCGGTCCTAAGTGGGCTTCGCGGGCCCGGTCCTAAGTGGGCCGGTCCTAGGCGGACCGGTCCTAAGCGGTCCCGGGCTTCGCGGGCTTCTCGTTGGAACCGGTCCGGGACCGGGACCACGAACTAGCGGTCCCGTGTTAAGTGAGCCCAAATNATTGATGATTTTGTGAGAAAAATGAAAGAATGAGGGGGTATTTATAGTTGAAAATAGGGAAAAAGTGTAATTATAAAAAGTTTGGGGTTAAAACAAAATTTGGAGGGTTAAATGGCTATTTTGCAAATAGCCAACGGCTATTTTGGCAGACCAAACGGCTAGTTTTTAAATGGCCAAACGGTCAAATTTTTTTTTTTTAAATTATCCGTTGGGCCCGTTTACAAATTGCCTTAGATATTTTTATTACCATTTTTTTTCTCTAACTTGTATAAAAAAAATTAAAAAATAGAAAGTATCTGTTAGACCCACTTAGGCTCTCTTGGGCCCGCTTAGGCCCGGAACCGGCCCATTTTACCCGGGACCGTTAGTTCGTGATCCCGGGCCAGTTCCAACAAGAAGCCCGCGAAGTCCGGGACCGCTTAGGACCGACCCGCCTAGGATCGGCCCACTTACGACCGAGCCCGCGAAGCCCACTTAGGACCGGGCCCGGCCCACATGCCACCCCTAACACCAACAAAGAAACTAAGAATATATACTAACACTACAACTACTGCAAATGCAAACAAGCGGGAAAGCTTCAATATAGACTAAAAATTTTCTTAAGCACACAAGAGATACAATGACTCAACTAATGGCGGAGAAAGGTAAGCACGACGAAGTAAATGCAATACTCAAGGGTTAAAAACAGGCAACAAATCTATAAACAAGCAAGATAACAAATACTAAGCAGGAATGATAGAACCTAGAATGTAGACAGATGCCAAAAGGATGTTGACCAACATCAGCTACAGTCTGGAAAGTCCTACGCGTCGCCCGCCTCCAGTTTCCCGCGTGTGGGTCTCACGCGCCTCTCAAGACTCACCGGAAAGTTGCCTCTTCACAGAATCCTCTGTCGCCGTTGTTAAAACAAGCAGCGAGTAAGGAAAGTAGAGAAGAAGACCACGAAAACCAAATCGACCAAGAAGTGCGCCGTTGAGTGATACCCGGCGACAGAAAGAACAAAATGGAGAAAAGAAAACTGGGGGTAGAGGAGAAGCGGGATCAGGGAGGAGGAAGAAAGACGAAGCAGAAACAAGGGGAAGATAAAGAGACGGGAGGACGGGGGTAAGTCCGACGAGCGGAGACGAGGATAGAAGAAAGAAGAGGGGAGGAAAGAAGAGAGAGAAGAAAAGGAGAAAAGATACATAAAAAGGGAGGAGGACTTACCTGATTCCGGTGGAGGTCACCGGATTTACACAGGCATTATCAGGGGTGTTAAGAAGAAAGAGTGAAAGACATTAGAGAGACAGAGACGTTCCTCCTGGTTTACAGGAAACTTAAGTTGTGAATTTGTCCAAGCTATTTATAAAGAAGCACTAGCGTTACTTAAATCTGTGGCTTATGATCCAATACAATACAAGACAATTTATTAATAACCAAGAAAGCCCCGAGTACTAGCGGCGCACGGGCCAAAACATGGCAGATAATGGGCCCGCCCCTCTACCCTTCTCCACGTAAATACCAGGCTTGTCTCCAGAGGATTTGAACCGGTGACGCGCGCCTAACCCACACATCGCCCTTTGTATTCTTACCACTAGACGAAAGCCCTGCGGCTACAAAATACAATACACTTTGACTCATATATTGCCTCTGCTGCAATCCTTTGAAAAATTCTCAAGCTGGGGTAATCTCATACAAATCCTAAACGACATAATATGATTCTTTGAGAGGCTTAGCAATAAATTCATCAAATTCAAATGCATACAGAATGGAAGACGCTATCATGCCCCAATTCCTCATATAGGGATGTGATGAAGATCCTTGGTCCCACTTCATTTTCTATAGGGGTCCAAATCTGCGCTTCTTTCAATATCACATAAATCTAGATAGAATAGGGACCTCAAAGATTGACTTAAAAGCGACTTGACTTTGAGAAAGAAAAGGGACGCCCCAGCAGCAATGTAGAAACAACGATAAAAAGCAAGAAAGGGCCAACAGCGATTCGTGTTAAACATGGGTCCTCTAGCAAACAATTATAGGCCATATCTCAAACACTTGGCACATGCTGAAGGAATGACACACCAATAATTTCAGTGTTGTTATTCAGCATAGTTTGAAGCAATTATTATCTCTTACCTCCGTCAACAGTATTGCAGCTATTCGGTCTTTGATGAATCTAAGGACTAGAGAGCGAAACCGTTTCCCTTTCGGTTGCCTTCTCAAGTACTCCAGTATCCAATAACGAAGACTGCTGCTGGAAAGCCTTCTTACAACTCTGGTTGTCATGTTTACCGTAGAGGCAATGCCTTCCAGCTCCCCAGCTGAGAAGGGAAGAGAATCACCTCTAAGAAAGGCTTTTACCTATACACAACAAAATGAGCATGAGAACCTCACAAAATTTTGTTGCCATTTTAGTCATGCATACATTGCTTAGGCTCTGCATGTTGCAAATCATTTCATTAACGTGGTAGACCAAGGAGAAAACAACTGCATGCATAATAATTTACTTGATATTGAAACCGAAAGCATCAATCATTGAGAAAGCAAGTACTTCTACACTTGCATGAACACAAAAAAACTCTACATAGGGTTTCTATTTAGGTTTGATTAAGTGTAAAAGACAAAGTATATCTCATAGGCAATGCCAAGTTGCAAATTCAAGAATGCCCTATGCCTAATAGATACCACAGACAATTTCATTTATATAAACTGCAGAAATATTAGCAGCAATAGTAGTTTAAAGTTTGAAGAGCTTGCCTGGTAATGGGCTGCGAGATCCATATATCTTCGGATAGGGGAGGTAAACTGAACATAGCCTGGAAGTCCCAACACCCCATGGCGTACAGGATTCCTGAAATCCATTTCAGCTGCACGCATAATTCGAACAATAGCAGAACTCCTGACAGGTCCCTCAGGAAGGTGTTCAAATGCAGATGTGTCGATATTAGATTGAGGCTGTCCTCTGTATGGTAAAGGAATGTTGTTATGAGAACCATAAGTGGCTATAACTTCCCCACAGAGTATCATCATCTCAGAAACAAGCCTCATAGCTGCATCAGCCTGATTTTCAACATACAACTTGATTGATGGCTCTGGATGATCTGGACTGGTCACCTTAATACGTGTTTCTAAGGTGCCTGTGTCTATAGCACCCTGCAGAAACATTCTTTGTCAATCTTTGGATCTTAAAAATCAGAATACGCTGCAGCATGATAGTAGACAATCTTCTTAAAACACTACAGCCAGCATGGATAGTACCATGCAGAAGTAGTAAATACTAAATTGTACTACAAGAATGCTGGTTGTAAAGTTTTTAAATACCTCATACAACATTTTTTATTTGAAGCTCCAGAAGAGCAGCTTCAAACAAAAGAAGCATGCCTGATAGGTGCAAACAAAGAAGTCAAAAAATTCAAACAACATCAATATTGCAAAATTTTGAATACAATCATGGGCCAGATATAACTCATGATTTATTGAAGTAATGCGCAAGCATCTGACTGCAGCAAATGCAAAATCAAACATGCTCAGATAATATACAAGCACTTGTGCAAAACACAGCCAACAATATACATGTAGCTTTGTGAGAGTAGCTCCTCTCAGCCAGAGTTCGGTGGGGAAAGGTGAAACTTGTTCTTAATTTCCATCAATGGCCAAATAGCTACCCATAGGAAAGAAAATTTAAAGTCTGGAAAATTACGATGCAACTACCTGTTCTCGACGCCATCTTAACCGGAGTGCAGCTGCTTCAGAAAGAATTTTCAGTTCAATCTCTTCTTCAAGATTCAAATGAAGGAGCTCTGTTGCACTCTCATAGGTTAACATATATGTTGGCTTGATGATTGAGTTTTCCACCGAATATTCTGCAATGCTGCCAAATCCATTAGGTTAATGATTTTCTCCAAAATGTTCATCTCTTAATCTTTTTAAAATCCAAAGCATGACCTCATTTAGAAACAAGTCTTCTTTGAAACAATAAGTTCCTCATATCATAACAATCTTCAAGATCCAGAAAATGAGACAAACAATTGAGAATTCGTGACAAATTCATTTTTTTACAGAAGATTAAACCGAGAAGCAACCCCAAAATGAATATTTAAGAAACTTCTCAATAATACACCCAATAGATATACAGTAATCAGGAACCAATATTAAAAGCAGCAAATTCCTAGACTCCAGGATTGATGGGATCTCAGACAACACAATTCTTGGTACAATTGTCATTGATAGCTAACCTGCCATCAGAACGCAGCACAACAGACACAGTGACAGCATTACACAGCTTTCCTTGCTTCAGACTCATGCCTTCCATGGCCAACCTTTCAGGAAACATCGGATATGTTGCAGTAGGCAAGAATATAGAAGTTCCTCTTCTTCTGGCATCTCTGCAAAGAAAGCACCGTATTAAAATAACACCTCAGAAAGTTACCACCAAAACCAACATTTTAGGCATATGATTATGTACTTGTCTATTATACTTCCTGGCTGAAGTAAACTAGTTGGATCTGCAACATGTATCCAAACTTTAATCCGGCCATCCTGCAGCCTTGCTGCACTCAATGCGTCATCAAGCTGCAATGGCTCGTGCTTTAGGAACTTTGAGAATTATATTTTAGAAAATTGCATCTTAGAACTCCAACACACAGTCAAAGCACAAAGGACATAATTCTCCCATGAAACCACAATGTATACCACACCTCATCAGCCTCATCAACATCAATCGCGTAAACCTTCAGGTGAGTCAGGTCTACTCTATCAGCCTAAACACCAAAACAACAGTAAATCAATGATTGATAAGATAAATAAGAAATAGACATGAATTGAGTTTAGAAATAATAAATGCTTCAAATTATTTAGACAATTAACGTCTCCATTATGGTCCTAGACAAACCAAAAGGTTCTCACTGAATCCAAAAAAATTTGCACAAATAGAGATATTAAAAAAAGAGGGGACAAAGACATTGAGTTCCACTTAAACTACTTTCCCTCAATCCTGATATAGAACTTGTGCAATTGTGAGCTCACCGTGGCTTATCTGGCATGAAAGCCAGAATATGTAGCTCATGCCACCAATTCCTCCTCTACAGCTGCTGGAGCGGTTTCTCAGACGCATTAACAAAGCTAATGGTCCGTCTCTCCCTCCCTCCCTCCCTCTTTGTGTGTGTGTGTGTGTGCGCGCGCGCATGCAAACTTTTTGATAAGTATGTATAATTGGGTTGTTGACAGATAGGCGTAGGGACAAATGAAAAAAAGAATTGCTTTCTAACAAAATAAACTTCATCTGCATCACGTACAACTGCTCCTTTGAAGGGTAGTCTTCAAACTCATCAAGAACTTGATAAGATTGCAAGAAAAACTTGGATGTTATATAAACTGAAATTATGTCATTGATTGCACACCAAGATGGTGTTGGGAAAATAGCATTGTTCAGTGGCTCAGCTACCTTACTTAACATATTTGTCACAATCATCTATAGAAACAGGAATTTTCTCTTCCAACAAAAAGAATATGAAATAAGAAGAATTTGAAAATATACAAAATGCTTTTGGGAAGAAACGCCAGAGAAAGCTAGATTCAGAGGAATCTGCACTCAATACTGCATGTTTATAACAGCAAGTCAGTACGCATAACTAAACTTATTGACATATTCTACCTATCCCAGAAGCAGCAGCTTTCCCTCCCCGACCTTTGGTGGTTCAGATCCGGACATGTTTACAAGTCATTCATAAAGACAAATGGTAGCCCTTAGAGGATATCACACAAGGCTGACTCTTTCCCCAAATTCATGGTAGAAAGAGGTAGTGGCTAGTTATCTGCAGCTCATGTCTTAGATATTTTACAAACCACTTCTAGGGAAACCTGATAGAAGACTTCTAAGGAACACAAAGGAAAGTTGGCAGAGTGTCATAACTCCATCTATTTGTTTGATGTCATTGAAGTCAAGAAGGAGCAGTATTTTTGTCTTCTTAAGTCAATGAAGTCAAAAGTTGAGTTCCAAACTAGAACTTCAATCCCGAAAAGAACTGCGCATTAAAAAGTGCTTCCTTCCCTTTAACTCCTTGTATTTCCATATAAGTACTTAACAAGAAGTCCTGATCTAACAATGATTTGAAAATACCCAAGATTTAAAATTTCTCTGAGCCAATCTGTAACACCCAAGTGAACAACAAACCCAGTGTAATCCCACAAGTGGGTCTGGGGAGGGTAGTGTGTACGCAGCCTTACCCCTACCTTGAGAAGGTAGAGAGGTTGTTTCCGATAGACCCTCGGCTCAAGTAACCGTAATACTTAAGTCCATGGACAAAAAAGTATAGTCAGACAGGCAGAAACATAGATGCATATGTTGATGTCATAAGCAGAAAGCTCAAAGCCAACATTACCTCATCAAGGTCTGTTGATGAAGACAAAATACTCTCTGCGACCGACATAATCTCGTCTCGATGATCAGTAGGGATGTTTAACTTTAACAAATCAAGATTTACATGTACAGGAAAATACCCTATATCTATGAGGAGATTCACTGCTGCAGATGAGGTCTTTGCCAGTCCCATGGCCTTCAAAATCTAAAAAGAGAGAAAGACAAACAGCATGATACAGTTTTCTCTTTTAGTTTTCCATCTTTTTGGATAGAGAAAAAATGCGCATAACCTAGCAACTCAACAGGAAAGACCTTCAGATGGCAGTAAAGAGGTGTCTAATGTAACCAAGATAACAATTGTTACTCAACTAAACTCAGGAGACTTTTCATCCAATAACCAAAGGTTAAGATTGATTACCATCCCAGCTGTTCTCTTTTGATCATCGTTTTTGCAAGCATCAATGGCAAAAGCTTCAAGAGACTCAATCTTGTGCCAGATTTTCTCTTCAGTCTTCCAGGAAGATCTTGGCGGTTTGTCCTGAGGAGGCATTTGTTTAGCAGATCGCAGTAACTGTATAAGTTCCTCAAACTCCTTCTCTGCAGCCTCGTTAGCAAGCTTCCTTCGTGAAAGTTCGCCCACCTAATTTTTTTTTTTAGGCCAAGCAGTTACTTAAGCAAAATGAGGCATTTATATAACAAAGTGAGAGAAAATAAAATAAGGAGAAAAAAGGCCACGAAGCAACCATGAAAGATGGGAAGTTTTGAAGGCAAGTCTTCATGCAACTTTCTACAAGATTATGAGAATTGATGGAACAAGTAAACATGCAAGTCAATGCATGTGTGTTGCAAATGGTAGTAGCAAGGCGAAACACAAAAATACTTCATCGATCTTACCCAAACATTTAATACACACACATAAATCATATCAAAAGACATTAATGTTGAAACATCAGGGAAAAAGGAAAATACTTGATGAACTTACTATCATAGAGGTTGCATTCTTTACTTGCTATTAATACTACGTTATAATATTGATATCAAAAAGATACAAACAACAACCCAATGTAATCCCATAGGTGGGATCTGGGTGATATTGAAGAGGTGTTACAATTATTTAGGCTCTCTTGATTTAAACACTAATATCCACAATATGCTCCTTTTATACAATAATAATTTAAAACTTATCTAAAAAATATAGTATTAAATTAAAATAGATATGTCGGAAAAAAAATTAAATAGATATAATAGGACTATAAAAGAGAGCAAATTTCTAAATGTAATTCTTTGTGATTTTATTAGTTTCTTACCTAATATCGGGTTGGACTATGCTTCCTGTCTAGAGAGTTTGTACAAGGGTGGCAGTTCATGTGTAAGCATACCTCCTTATAACTCTACTATTGAACTTCGTACTCTAAAGAATCATTAGAGTGTTTACCTAATTAAAATAATTTGATAGGCCATCATGCTATTCTAGTTTGTAAAAGGATAAAGGGATTTATATGTTCACTTACAAAATTAACTTGAAAATTTCATTATCTGTGACCAATTGAATTATGACCTTTATTTGACAAATGCTTTTTTTCAAATATAAAAATACTTTCTTGCTTCCGCATATAGTTAAAACAGATGAGAAGATAATATTATATTCATTAATAATAATAAATTAGACATCTTCTTTCCCTTTCTTTTAGATTAAGATTAGTCTTAACCTTTTTTTTCCTTTTGATAAGGTAAAGTGTAAGGTTAGTATTAACTATTACCTTATATATTAAGATTAGTCACACGCTCCTAAAATTTCAAACTGGGAACCTCATTTCACAGAGTAAATAGAACAACTGCGCACATCTAACAGATGTAGATGAAAATGCCACCTTATCCTCATTCTTGTGCCAACTAACATGTCGGCAGATAGGCTGAATGGATTTTATCAGGTTTCAAAGACCAAACGAAAGCAGATGATGCATTCTTAGTAAACAAAAATAACTGATGGAGGACTATATTACACCTGGGCAGCAGTCCGAGGTCCATATACAGGAGAAAGACCTTTTGACTCCAGAACTGTGAAATGCACCTCATCTCTCGATAACAGTAGGTGCGCACAATAGCTCTCAAGAGGCTCCGCACTACCAAAAATCATCTGGTTGAATGAGCAAAGGTCATTAAAAGAACAATGAATGTCGACATCATAAAACTCCAGATCGATTACCTCAGCCAGTTCCTGAACTGTTACGGATTTGTTTTTTTCAACAAGCTCATTCCATGCAAATTCAAGTAGTGCTGTGTCCTATCAGTGGCACTCAAAAAGTCAATCATTATCCTAAAACGGGTAGAAAACTCTATATTTTGTCTCTTTATCAAGTAGCAACTGAAAAGTTCCTTTAAAAACAGCAAGAAAGAACCGACCAAGTTATCCTGAGCTTTCTGAACAAAATCTGATATTTCTGTGGGCTCAAAGTTTTCAACACCAGGAACAATAAAAGTTACTTGTTGTGGCTTAATGGAGGTCGTAATCCCATTCTGCATCATTAAAAACCAAATGATGTGCATCAGTGCCCAAGCAGCAAATAAGCCTAATAAACTAGTAAACGAACTCATTAATTGTTTTTGAGTTTAAGGTCTATACATTGACAGTGTAAAACAATATTTACATCAAGTCACTTAAAAGATAATTGTAAATAATCCAATTTAATAAGCATTGATTGATAACCTAGAATAAATGATAAGTAACATATTATAACAAATTAAATTATACCGACGATGTATTAAATTCACCTGATCAGAGACCATCCAATTCTTTTTGCCATCAGGTTTAAGAGCAACTGCTAGCAGCACCCTTTCAGAATCCTTCTTGAACTCCAGCAGTAGTCCTTTCTGTAGTGTTCCTTTTCTCAACTTGTCCTCAAGAAGCTCTCCTGTGCTTGCTAATTCCAGCCTATAAAAGATTCCGCATTAACCATTTTACACCTGAAAGCAACAACTCTATCTATCTTCTATACTATTATAAAAGCATGAAACTCCAACAAGAGATGTTGATTGACTTTCTTATCCTTCGTAAGTGCATTCTTTGTTGGACAAAATTGTAATTATAACTAATTTTAAAAACTTCATTATTTCCTGTTTTAATTGTTTGGCCTTTATATTTTTAATTAATTCAAAGAACCTCATTGGTTTCCTGTATGGTTCTCCCTAGTTTGCATTAGAAACGAAAACCCTTCCAAAATACACACTTTCTTGTTTCTCTAAGTCTTAAATTAATTCTTATATAATATGAACATTCAATTAAAGAACTTAAGTTATATGCACTATCAGTGTAAGGAATTTTCAACCATCAAGTCACTTTTACTTCTTGTAGCAGGTAACTTATCTTAGTTTCAAAATTACAAATCTCACATTTTAAGGAGACTTATATGTAGATATTCTTTTGAGTGATTTGATAGCGTAAAACATTCCTTATATCGGTGTATATAACCTAAACTTCTAAATATTATTGCTTTGGGATACAAATTTTGCGCTAATTATTATGAGACATACGTGCAGTGCACGTAAATAGAGACTATTATATTATAAAAAGAAAAAGCAATGAGAAAATTAAAGTAGAAATAACAATAGTACTACAAAATGAGCAGAAGGTACTTGCTAGTAGCACGAACTCTGCCACGTTTGCGAATGGATGCGAGCTCTTCCATGACCATTTCAACGAGGTTGTGAACTGAATAGCTCCGAACAGTGACGTGGCTAAGAGGATAAGGCGTACAACGGAGAAATGAATGTAAATTCAAATGCTTTCTATTTCGGGAGGTGGTGAATTGACGGACACAGCATCTGCGTGAGGCGGCGAGCGGTGGCGTTGCGGCGGAACGGAAAATTACGCAGCTGTTCATGGCGCGAACCGCCATTGGGGTTTGGTTGAAAGCTAGAAATTGGTGGTTGTGATAGTTGGAGATGTCATGTAGCAATTGGGGATTTCGTTTGTTTTGGTTTTAGAAGAGGCTTTGGCCACTTCCCGTTACTTGTTGTAAGAGTTATCGGAATTCTGGTTTTACTAGAATGCCCCTGTTATTAGGGAAATTTTATTAGTATCCAAATATACTTACTCACATTCCCTGTTTATACCAAATATATTTATGTCATATATTAAAGTAAAGTGCATTAATCGTCTATAGTTATTAAATGATAAAAGTCTATTTAAAATACATATGTCAAGCAATTATTGATTTTGGTATAAACAGTGGGTGTGAGTAAATTTTTTCATATTATTACAGTTAAGTGATTGTAAAAGCTTATCAGCGCTAATGTTTATACTGAATAAATGAATATAAGATAATGTACATAAATTTCTCACTTAATAGCTATGGTCAAATGGTACATATTCTTACTTTAGTTTTTAACTACTAAAATTTAATTATTTAAATTTGGTATAAACACGAATACAAATAAGTAAGGGATACTATGATTAAGTGAGAATCAAATAGTCAAATTATTACTACTGTTAAAATTATGTATGTTGTGAGTACTTCGTAACAATATGCAGCATGTAGGGGTGTACATGTACCGGATTGGTTCGTTTTTGTAACGACCCGACCGATCGTTTTGAGAATTTAAATCTCGTCTGGCGGCATACGGCTCTGATCAACTTCGTATTATGTGCCTTGACTTGCTTGCGTGGTTGAATTCAATTACCGGGTGATTCGAAGTGATTTGGGATACTTAGTCCCTAAAACGGAAGCTTAAATCTTAAAATTTTGACCGTAGTCGGAACTGTGTGAAGACGACTCCGGAATGGAATTCGGTCGGTTCTGTTAGCTCCGTTGGATGATTTTGGACTTAAGGGCATGTCCGAATTGTATTTTGGAGGTGTGTAGCTCATTTAGGCTTAAAATGGTGGAAGTCAAATTTTTGGATATTTTGACCTGTAGTGGACTTTTTGATATCGGGGTCAAAATATGATTCTGAAAGTTGGATAGGTCCGAAATGTTGAATATGATTTGTGTGCAAAATTTGAGATCATTCAGACGTAGTTTGATAGGATTCGACATCGGTCGTAGCAATTTGAAGTTTCAAGTTCTTTAAGTTTGAATTAGAGGGTGATTCATGATTTTTAGCGTTAGTTGATATGATTTGAGGGCTCGACTAAGTTCGTATGGTGTTTTAGGATTGGTTGGTATGTTTGGTTGAAGTCCCAGGGGCCTCGTGCGAGTTTCGAGTGCTTAACGGATCAAAAGTTGGATTTGAGTTGTTGCTAAAGTCTTCAAGCATCTGTCATTTTCGCACATGCGGTGGAGAGATCGCAGGTGCGTGATCGCACATGTGCGGAGGCAAGCGCAGAAGCGGGAAAATGGAGGAGTGCCAGGGGTCACAGGTGCGAGGTGAATTCCGCATCTGCGATGCCCGCAGATGCGTTAGGGTCATCGTAGGTGCGCAAGGTCCGCAGAAGTGGAAGGGATTTCCGCAGGCGCGCAGGTGCGGCCCTTTCATCGCATGTGCGAAGGCAGAGGGGTAAGTGATTTGCACAGATGCGCACCTTTTGGCCGCACAAGCGCACCCGCACGTGCGAGCCCAGGCTCCGCAGGTGCGGGAAATACCTAGGCAGTGGTTAAAACCGAAGGGCTTCGCGATTTTTGTCATTTTTTGGACTTTGTAACTCGTTTTAGGGCTATATTTGAGAGAATTTTCGAGAGATTTCTTTAGGTAAGTCCCTTGTGCTTATTTTTTATCAATAATCATGCTTTCACATGTATTTTTCCACCTAGTTAGTGTATATTTAAGGTGAAAATTGGAAGTTGGAGGCTAGGGATTTGGGGAGTTGGATTGTGGATTTGGAGGACCATTTGGTGTCGGATTTTAGTAAATTTGATATGGTTAGACCCGTGAGTGAATAGGATTTCGTATTTTGTGACTTTTACCCGATTTCGAGACATGGGCCAGTGTCGACTTTTTAAGGTGATTTCCGGAATTTTTGTTAAAGTATTGATTTAATTAATTAGATGAGTCTATTATGATTGTAATTATGATATGTAATTGCTTTTGGCTAGATTTAGGCCATTCAGAGCCGGATATTAGTGGAAAGGGCATTCTTACGGATTGATTGAGCTTGACTCGAGGTAAGTATCTTGCCAAACCTTGTGTGGGGAAACTACCCCTTAGGATTTGAATCATTTATGTTGATTCTAGTCTGTGTACGCGAGGTGACAAGTGCGTGCTCGAACTTATTTGTGGAAAGTTGGCCTTTTAGGGTTCTTATGTCCTTATATTCACCGTGTATGGTATTTTTTTTGATACGTTTGAATTCCTATTTGCTAGTTTCACCTCTATTTGACCCTTATTCGACTTAACCAAAGATTTTACCCTTTCTATCGTCGTGCTATATTTTTCATAATTGCTTATCTTTAATTGAAATCATTACTTTCTCATCCTATAGTTGTTTAGTCTTAATTGGAGTTATGATTATCTTTCGCTGCTTATCTTTACTTGAATTGTTGAATATTTCTCATAATTGCTCAACCTCAAAAGGAGTTTAGATAACCTATATCTTAGTTGACTTGCCGTTATTTGGAACTATTTGACTCGTGTTGGCTTCTTATTGTTGACTTGAATATTGTGAAATCGTTGCTACATTTTTGTTTTGTTTTCCCTTGTTAAGCGGTTCTCCTTGTGCCTAACATTCTTTACTGTAGTTATTCCTTGTGAATGAGTTCTACCGTTCTTGTGATTTAAATTCTTGAGTTGATTTGCTCGACGTACTTTGCATTTCTTTCATTGTTGCTTTTGTACTCGTTGTGGTGATGTACGAGGTTTTTGTCGTGTTATAGTTGTTATCTCTGTTGTTTGCGCTGCATATTTAAATTGGGATTACGAACGTATTCCGGAAGATCCCCCAGCATTGCATATTTATTTGGGGACTACGGGCATATTCCAGTAGATCCCCTAACACTGTATATTTAAATTGGGACTACGGACGTATTCCGGGAGATCCTCATATATTGCATATTTACTTTGGAANCCCCCCCTGTACTGCATAATTAATTCGTGACTACGAGATGGTATCCCGGTAGATTCCCCATGTGGTTATATCTGTATTCGGAGCTGCTAATCTTCCATGCTTGGGTGTCACAGGGTGACTTATATCTTGAAGGATATTACTTGAAAAGTTTATATTTAAAAAGTATTTATCTTGAAGGAATTGTGTTTGAAGATATTTATTTGAAAGGGTTATACTTGAAAAGTGTTTATCTTGAAAGAACTATGTTTAAAGGCTAATTATTTGAAAAGTTTATATTTGAAAGGTTTTATCTTGAAAGAACTATGTTTGAAAGATATTTATTTGAAGGAAGTATATTTCAAAAATAATTTCTTATTGGAAAGGATTATATTCTAAAGACCTCAATTTAAAAACTTACGGGTGAAAGTTTACACTTGAAGGATTTGACTAATTTATTGGGGTTGTTGGCTGAGACCTGATGTGAAAACTATTGCAGCTGTTGAGTTACTACTTGCCTTTACTGTATTGTGATTTTTGGATTTGGGTTGTGTTTTCGTTCATTCTTCTGTGTCTTATTTTAGTGTTCTGCTGTTACTTGCTGTTTNTTCGTTCATTCTTCTGTGTCTTATTCTGGTGTTCCGTTGTTACTTGCTGTTTTTCCTTCCTTATTGCAGTTGCTATGTCGTTAGCCATATCGCAGGGTCCTTAGATAGATATCATGTTCTGCCATCCCTATACTTATGCTTGTTCAGTTTATTAGACTAGTGGGTGTCTTGACTAGTCCTCGTCACTGCTTCACCGAGGTTAGTCTTGATACTTACTGGGCATCGCTGTGGTGTGCTCGTGCTACTCTTCTGCATAATTTTTTTTTTGTGCAGACCCGGGTATTTGTTCGTCAGCTAGCTGTGTGGACTGTCGCTGCAGAGACTCAAGGTAAATTTGTCGCTACGTTCGCAAGTTTCGGAGTCACCTTCAAGTTTTCGTTTTGCACTGTTTATTCTTATTTCTGGACAGTTGTATTTAGAAGTTTTTTAGCAAACACTTTGTAGAGCTTATGAATTGTACTACCGGTTTTGGGAATTATAAGAGATTTTATTTAAATAATGTTGTTGTTATAATTATTGTTAGGCTTACCTAGTCCTCAAGACTATGTGCTATCACGATACCCAAACGGAGGGGAAATTGGGTCGTGACAAGTTGGTATCAGAGCCCTAGGTTCATATGTGCTACGAAGAGTCTTGCGAATGGGTACAAAGACGTCTGTACTTATCTTCGAAAGGTTATGGAACTATTAAGACAATTTCACTTCCTTCATTCCTATCGTGCGAGTTCATTGGTCTTGAAGTTTAAAATTTACCATTCCATTCTCTCACAAAATGGTGAGGACACGAGTTGCGGTTCCTGAAGATGTTACCCCCAAAATAGATGTCGCTATGGTCAGAGGCAGAGGCCGACGAGGAGCACGTGCAGCAGCTAGGGCACCTACCAGAGCAGCAGTTGGGGAGCCGCCAGTAGTTCCAGTTGGGGGCAAGTATCGGAGGCGCTTGCTATTACCCCCAGACTTCCGGAGACTTTAGCACAGTTCCTGAGCATATTTGGTATATTGGCTCGGGCGGGGATATTTCGGTTGCACCAGTTACTTCACAGACCGGGGGAGGAGCCCAGACTCCCGTCGCCCACACTCCAGAGCAGCAAGTTCACGTTGGTCAGGTGTCATGGTAACATAGGCCGTGGTTCCAGTTTAGCTTATGGTCAGATCAGCAGTATCCGAGGAAGGGCAACTTATATTTGCAAGGTTCAAGAGGTATAACCCTCTTACATTCAGTGGTTTGGCTTCAGATAGTGCACAAGGTTTTATGGAGGAGTGCCATAACATCCTCCGCACTATGGATATTGTTGAGAAGAGTGGGGTTGCTTTTACTATGTTCCAGCTTAAGGGAGCGGCTTATTCGTGGTGGCGGGCATATGAGATGGGTAGCCCAACCGAGTTAGCTTCACTTACATGGGTTCAGTTTTCAG